TTGTTGTTGCTTCCTTTATTCTCCATAACTGATGAATACAGTTTCTACATCTTCCATATCCGTAATCATACGTAAAACTGAAAACAAAATAATTTGGAACGTAACAACTGTGGCCACGTGGTCATATACTATTAAATTCGTAATAGTTCACACAATTAACACAATTAAAGCACATTATTGAATGCTAACAAACTTATACAACATAAAATCATAATAATTGGATGGATAAACTAGTACAAAGAATATAATTTACCTCCAAACCCCTACAATAGGGCCTGGTGCTGTTTAGGCGACCACAGCTGCCGTTGAAGTAAACAACCGAGTTCCAATACCCGTCTATGTATGCGACTTTGGCACATAGTCTTTTAAAACATTTTTATTCATCTTTACTTTCTTAACTGGGCTGCTACACTTACATGGCTCCCCTAAATTGTTTACAATTTACAATCAACATTATACTACCTTAAAACTATAATCTTTATAAAACTTTCTTTTCTGAAAGTAAATACAAAAATAAAACATTTATCTTTTATCACAAATAAAATAAAGCTCTTTGGCGGGGACTTCCCTGGATATAAAGTACATTGAGTTAACTCAAATAAAATTTCTATTCCTTATATTCTAATAACATAATTAAACTCTTTACTCCTTTTACCACCCAGTAACCTGCTCTTATTTCATGTTATGCCACGACCTTGATGGTGATAGTGGCATCTACCTGGCAAAATTACAGGATGTCTACTTGCTTCATTCAAGTTTGCTTGACTAAGTCTTCCTCGTACTTTCATGATTCCATCAATATCCATAAATGGATCTAATTTGTACAAACTGCTTCTCTTATTTAGGACTTTCTTTGTTTGAAGAACTCTTTTTTCGTCTGCATAGTATTTACTCTGAAGTTCCTTTATTATTACTTTCTCTGCCTTTTCAAGCTCTGAAACTGTCACAGGACTATATGTTACATTTCTCTTATCAATTTTCTCCTCAGATGTTTCTGTGGTTTTCTTATACTTACTTTGTAGACTTAAACACAATGCTGTAGCTCTTTTAGCTCTAAACCAATCTGAGAAATAGTCTAATCTATCAAGAAATGATTCTTCTTTCTTTGAAGTTACTACAAATGACACTTTCTTGACTTCTGGATCATCCTCAAAAATGGATCTTTGTTCACAGGAACTTCCACAATAATCAAGTTTCTTCCAAAGAAACTTTGGACCATTCCACCACATCAAATTATCCATTAATTCTTTGACACAAAGTCCACGTGCAGCACAATCTGCTGGATTTGACTCTGATTGTACATAATTCCATTGAATAGGATCAGTCCTATCTCTAATATACTGAACTCTATTTGCAACAAAAACATGAAACCTTTTGGCATCATTTGAAATATATCCTAAGATTGCTTTACTGTCTGTCCAAAATATTTCCTTGATATTTTGATAATCAAGCTCCTTTCTTAACATGACACTTACTTTACTTGACACTACTGCTGTTGTCAGTTCCAATCTTGGAATAGTAACAGCTCTCAATGGAGTAACTCTAGACTTGGACATAACTAAAGAACAATGAATTTCATCATTAACATTAACAAATCTAATATATGAACACTGTCCATAGCCATCTTGGCATGCATCTGAAAAATGGTGTAATTCTACTGATTTAATTTCTCCAAAGCTTTCTGGTTTATAACATCTTGGCAACTTAAGGTTCTGCAACTCACATAATTCATTTCTCCATCTTTCCCACAAGGGTTTAATATGATCAGGCACAGGATCATCCCATTCTACTTTACCCCTACATAAATCCTGGAGTATTTTCTTTCCTAGTAGAATCAATGGAGATACTAGTCCCAAGGGATCAAATATTGAGCTTACCGTTGACAAAATGCCCCTTCTAGTTAAAGGCTTGCTACTGAAATTAACTCTGAATTGAAAAGTATCAGATTCTATGCACCATTCTATTCCAAGTGTTCTTTCCATTGGTAGTGTATCCTTTGTCAAGTCAAGACTTTTAATGTTGTCAGACATTACTTCTGGACTAATAGCAGATATTACTTCCTTTTTGTTTGAGGAAAATTTGTGCAATGTGAAACCTGCTAATTTACATAAATTTTTACTTTTATCAATCAAATCAATAGCTTCAGCTACTGTTGACACTGACATTAACCAATCATCCCTACTTAATTCTTCCTTTGGGATTGGTTCTGCATAACCTTTCTCTATGAGATCCTTCATAAATTTGACATAATCTTCATAGTAATCTTTCTTTTGCCTAAACTTTCTTTTAAGGTTCATTAACCTGTGCAAAATTACATCTCTATTATTTAGGAACTTGAAATCTATATTCTTTAAAGGCAGAGGCATTTCATAATGACCTCTTTCAACCTGATGAATACCTTCTCTCATTCCTTTTATAAACATTTTATCATCTTGAGAAATAGGACAATCATCATTTACATCATTAAAATCAAGCTCAAACATCTTTTTTACTTGCTCAGGATTAATAATCTCTTTGACCTTTGTAGGAACTGTGAAAAGACAACATTTCTTCTCATGATTAATTATTACTTCTTGCATCATTGTTCTGTGCACTGAGACTACATCTACTTCCTTTGAATCAACACCTCTGACTTTACCTACAATGCCCCAACCAAGATCAGTTCGTTTTGCATAGGGATCATTGTCATTGCCAGTAATGATTTCCTTTGGCTTAATTGCCTTAATACAATTGAGACCAATCAGGAGTCCTACTTCTACATCATCACTGTAAGGCATCAGTTTCTCTACTATTCTTTCCAAATGTGGCCACTCTCTGGCAGTTTCAGGTCTTGGTATTTGATCTCGTCTGCAAGGAATTACTTCTCTAGAATAAGTATGAGGCAATGGTATATCTCTATTTTCATACACACCCTTTACAATTAAACCACAAGATTTAGAGCATGTAACAGTTTGTTCACCATTCATAGTAGCTAATCTTAGATGAACCTTTATTCCACCAATGCCTAAATTACCTAGAGCACTGTTTTTAATAAAACATACATCAGACTGATCATCAAGTAATGCATACACCAAGACTTTTTTCTGCTCGTCACTTTTATGGTGCAACCACACAGGAACTATCATTGAGTTAACATCCATAGCAATAGACTTGTTAACTTTAATTGTATTAGAAACATTTGCCTCTTTGTCTTGTTCCTTAACTTGAACTTTATTTTCAGACTCCCATCTGTCCTTTTGTACTAGTGCTTCATCATGGAGAGAAGTAGGATGTAATTTATTACAAGTTTTACATTTACTCCTTTGACGACAAAATCTTAATATGTGTCCTCTTTTTAGACAACCTCTACATAATTTGTTTTTATTAACAAAATTCCTTTTGTTTTTCAAATCCAAATCTGAAAACTTATTACAATTATTAAGATTATGTAGCTGACTGCAAAATGGGCAAGTAAATCTATTGTTACTTATTTTATCATTGACTTCATTGGTTTCTGTGACAAAGCTCTTCACTAACCTTGACTTTTGTTTTTGAGCATTTACTGTTATATTACCTCTAACACCTTTATCTTGAACTGCAGTGATTGAAGTAATTGGGTTGCATGCCTTTGAAGCTTCTTTTCTTACAAATATACAAAATTTTGTGAAAGAGGGAAATTCTGCTGAATATAATAAGCCATCATCACTTTCATCATCAAGTTCACTGGCTTTATATAGCTCTCTATCTACAATTGTATTCCATCTTTCAACTATAGGATGTGGCAATTTTTGTAACATTCTCTGATTCTCTTTGGGATCATTTAATATATTCAAATACTGAATATTACTCATTGCTGTCTTGCATGTCTCCAAGAAATCAGAAAATTTCATCAAAGCTGGTCCGTCATTCAGAGGAATCCTTGGCCACTCATGTAATTTCTCTCTATATGCATTAGCAATTACAAAGGCATTACCAAATCTTTGTTTTAAAAGCTTTCTAGCTTTACTGTAAGCTTCAGTACTATCTAATAACAAAAGTCCACTTATAACTTCTTTTGCTTCTCCATCTGTATATTTGCTTAAATAATACATTCTTTCAGCTGCTACTTTAGTTTTTGACTCAATTAAAGTATCAAATGACTTAACCCACATTGAATACTGAAGTATATCACCTTTGAAGACTTCTGGTTCAGGCCTAGGAAGTGAATCACTAATTTGCCTAGCACAAAGAATTTCAGCTAATTGTTGGATAGCATTCTTTTCTTCTGTTCTCCCTGAACAAGAACTTTCATCCGTTTGATTAACCAGTACCTCATCCTTTGGAAAAAAATGAATTAGCTTTAGGATTCAGATTACCCACATATTCATCATCAAGGTTTAGTCTCTCTCTTAGATCTTCATTTGATTTAACTTTACTCTCAGATACAATATGCTTATGGTGTGGCAATGTTTTCAAATGGTACTCCACATACCTTCTTGTATAATCTTGCTTACTCTCAACCCTTGATTCGTCTAATTTTACATTCTGAATTTCATTTTTGACTTCCAACATTTCTAGGTCTAACTTTGCTAACTTCTCAATTAATTCTTTCTGTCCTTTTGATGAAGAAATACTTGAACACCTAGAATGTGCACTACTCCTAATACTACCTGCAACTTGAACAAATTGTTTTGATCTTTCTCTGATATCAAATATAAGCCTTTGTGTGTCTTCCTCACATTTAATATATTGATCTATAAATTAATTAGAAGGCTCCAGAGCTTCATATCTATCATATGCATTCTGTATAGCTTCAAACTTGGTTACTAGTGAAATCCTAGCTTCCTTAATTTGCTTAAATTCTAGATCATCTAATCTATTATTTATCTCAATGTAAACTCTCTTCCAAGCAGTTTTTGCACTCAAAAAATTT